ATACAGTCAATACCATTATTTTATTTTTTTAAAAATCCATTCAATTGGCATAGTGTTTGATAGTTATGTAATCATAGTTTCAGGATGCCATTGAAAAGTATTATTCACTCACTGATGAGTGCAGCTGTGAGGGCTGTTGTATTGCTAATTGTAATATTGGTCACTTCTTTTACAAGTGTTTTTTTTTTTTTTAAGTGTCTGGGCAAGTTTGGTCCTCTGAGATGTGGAGAGATGTATGCCTTGGACAGACTGCTGAGAGAGGCTCGTGTCCTCGAAATCATCCGACGTGTCACCAAAGAAAACCCACAGAAAATCAGACCAGCTACTGAAGGTGATTTGTGTCGTTTATGTTCATTTCATGTGCATTTGTTTAAACATCCATAAATGCATTTATTCAGAATAACTGTATAGACAAGAAAAAGAAGTTGAAGAGGAATTTTCATTAGTGGGAGCATTCCTTCTGGAGCATAAGGGTGAAAATGTCTGCTTTTGGCTTGGATGACAACTAGTGTCATCAGAAACATTTCATGGGTATATGGAGGTAGAGATTCCACTAAATAATAAGTAATTATGGATTTGTGTCATGCAGCCTGTCAAGAAGGTAAAACAGACTTTACAAGGCACTGATTCAAAGCAAGCTGCAACCTTATACTATTAATACATTTCCTGTGTTATGTATGGCACTAACCCCCAGTATCTTGCTTTCCTACCTTGCTTATAACGGTCTCCTGTTTTCTAATTTGTCAGTTATCCCGGCGCTAGGTCTGTGTCTGGGTGCTGTGTCGCTATGGCAAGAATGTGTGGGACAGGGTAGCATGTACAGCGTCTCTGCTGAAAGGTTCCTGAATACACTGTCGACAATCTACGCTGGTTTACTGCCTGAAAGGGCCGAAGCAGGTAAATCATCATTAGTGGGTATACTGCACATGCTGGTATGTGGAGCATATTAACATCTGTGTTTGTGTGTATGCAGTGTTCTTGTGCCTGGTTGAGCGTGTACTGGATCAGAGGTTACCACGACGAGGAAGCAGCAGGGACAACATGATGGTGACGTTGTTCCAGCTGTGGAGCTACTTGGACTCGAATGCTGTCAGTGATATGGACACACACATCATTGAACTGGCAAAAGAGGGTGGGTGTGTAC